TCATGATCTCATTAACGATAGCCAAATGGGGGCCGCTTTAAGGCCGAAAATGCATTGAAATCGCACATTTTCACCATTCCGGACCCGTATCTCAGTTATGCATGGATGGATTTTGTTCAAATTTGGTACATACATTAAACATAATAGGACCTTGATGCACGTCTTTTTTTTTCCGGATCAAGTTCGAAATGGCCGACTGGCGGCCATTTTGTTAAAGAATTCAGTTCTGGATCCGTATCCAAGACATGTCTGGATTGATCAAGTTCAAACTTCACACACACATGGTACAGTACAGTTCTCGCGGAAGCTTTGGCTTTTGTGGCATCATTGTCGCATACGCATGGCTTCACTGTCGCCTCAGCATCGCATCATTGTGGCATCAGCTTCGCGTCATTGAAAATTGAAGCGGTGTTAGCCTCGCTTTCGTGTGGCATCATCGTGGCCTCAGCTTCGCGGTCTCATGGCATCAACATGGCATCAGCTTCAAAGTATTGTGGCATCAGTATGACGTACCTCATTATTTGCATATAGAAAGGCAGTAGAGAAAAAAAATGTACAGAAGATCGATATGTAATTAATTTGAAATTCACGCGATGCAATCTTTGTTCGGACACAACACAACTTACTACTATATACGAAATGAAACTGTTCTTGTTATAAGATTATCTTATTTTCGTTATTTTTATTAGTTGGCAAGAGAACATGTTCAGATTCGTCATTTCGGTGGTATTTTTCCGTGTTTCGTTTACAGTTTTAGCCGAATCCGATCCCATGCCCGCACTAATAGAGACATTAAGATGCGCATACGAGAACGGAACGAGAACGGATACGTCACTGCTTTGTGCATGACCTCCGCGCGAACCAATGACGTCATCGGTTGCCTGGTCGTACGGCATTCGTTTTGAACGTAATGAAGGAGACTGTCTCGTAGTTGATTTCCGAGAGCTTTTCTCGCTGTCAATTTTGATTAATTTTCACTGACATTGATAACACGTTTTATATTAGACTTGTTTTTTGTATATTTATGATAAAATAAGAAATATTGGATGCATTTTAGCTGATATTTATACCCACTGAAAACGCATGACATTGATTTGCTGAAAGAGGATTCGGCAAACAGGCCTGGGGCCTCAGCAGAGTGGATGGAAATAGTGGTAGCTATGTCAAATGTCTGGGAACTAACTACTAATTCAGATTCCGGACGTGAAATGACTTAACAAATTTTATTGGATAGTTATAATATTATGGTTGCCCAGTGACAGACGGATTGACGTGGTTTTGTTTCAGTTACGGTCCCGTTGTGGGCGCTTGTACTTAATCATTTTCTGACACTCGAGAACGTAACGCAAACGAAATTAGAACAACACGTTACGTTCCCGTTACGTACGCAAATCTTAAACTCTCTAATATCTCGGGTCATTGAACCAATCGATACCCACAATGCATTACGTCTATCCCTAGATACAAACACAACAAAATGGCGGCCTCCTTTGGCTATGAAGATCGCTAGTTGAATAAAAAGTGTTTTGTGTGCCCTTGTTGTGGGCGAGAAGGTTAGTATTATGATTTGAGTAAACAATTATTATTCTTCAAAGGTGTTAACACATCTACCAACAACGGAAGTATCAATGTGGCGATTAAAGACCGTGGAAATCGTCGACGAGTTTGAGAAACCTTAGTGTAAACAAACGGTGTCCCCCTGGTGATGAAATGATGGGCGTGCATGCATCGGTCCCCGGGTGACAGGAGCGAAGATCTGAGAGTGTGTTTAGTGATTGATTGAGCAATGTGATTGTTAGCATAGAGGCAAGAGAACAGGTTTTGGTTGTTTACAATTTGTGTTTATGCCGACACTAAGAAAATTAATATTACATTATTGTAATAGTGTATGTACGGTCTAATTATTTATCCTTCGCAAAGAAATTTCATCATTATTGTTTTTAAATAATTTATATTGAAATACAAATAAATATAAAAATGATCAAAATCCCGACTAAACTTCTACTACCGCTTAAAATTAGGTCATGATGGTTCCAGGACCCATTCTCGTTTTACTATTGACATGTTCTGAATTTTGTTTCTATGACTTACGGTGTTTTCATGTTTTGTTGTCCCTACGTAAAAGTACACCATATGACACTCATTCTTATCTGTATCTTGTGGTATACATGCAGGGTGATGGTTCATAAAAATGGAAATGATATGTTTTCTGTATCACCATGGTGTGAACAATACAAATATATACTCTTTAGGATTTAAAATTCAATGAAAAACAAAAGACAAATCCTAAGTTCACATAGAAAATAACAATAGGGAGTAATTGTTATGTGTCTTTAACCAATTCTAGTACTTTTCATACAACATTTCATTTGATACAACACACTCACCCAAATTATGATCAAATCCACTGTACCATTCACTTATTATAGATATATTTTTCCAATTTTTGTTGGAGAGTTTAACACATTGTGTGCTGAAAACCTCCACATACAGCGGAAATGAATGAGAAAAAAACCCATCATCTACAGGTGGTGTGTTATTATTAAAAATTAAAGTTCTTTACATTTTGAGCTTATTTTCTATTTTTTTTTTTTAGTCTTGTAACAGGTTTTGAGCAGACTTTCATCATGGCTACTGACAAACTAGCAACTCCATTCCTGTTTCCCTGTGCTGCTAAGGTGAAAATACCTCAGATTGGTTCAGAGGACTCAAAGCTAAGGATAAAAGGAATATCCGACATACCCCTCGGAAAAATTCCTGAGGTCTCAGGAGATATCAGCAAAAAATATTTGAAAAAGATCTCTACTGATCTGAAGTTTGCCGATGAGGTGATTGAACAACGCGGGGCACACACCTTGCCTTACGATGAAACTAAGTTACTTGATGCTTACAGATATGAAGGATTATGTACAACACCTCATAAAAAACATGTTGTCGTAGGAAGACATAATACCAGAGGAGCTGACAAAAAACACTTGCCGTGTAATTTGAAAAAAAGGCATCATCATCTTATGCCATTGATAGTGAGGCCACCTGATAAAAGCAAGGTTGAAGAAGATGAGGATGAATCTTCAGAGGAGGAGGAGGATGGAAGTGAAGTTAGCACAGACACAAGGAATAGAAAACCTGGTAAATCTAAAGTGAGAATTGAATCTCCTGACAAGAGGGCATCGCCCGATCCAGCTGAAGTATTCTTGACAGAGGCTAATTTAGCAGCTCGGGAATTGGAATCACAAGTGTCAAAGGAAACTGCGAAATGGGAAGAGTACTTGCTGCTGAGCTTAAGCAAAAATACAGCCCGGTGGATCGTGAGTGAAAAAACAGGGATGGGAAACCAGCAAGAAGATCTCAAGAAACTCCTGCACTATCATTACGGGGAGCCTCAGCACCCAACTGATACAATAATCAGGGACGATGTAAGTGTTAGCGACATTGGCGGAAGCTCTGAACCGGACCTTGTCTCTAGAGTTTCAAAAGATAAAAACAAAGAACTGTATTCAGATAAAGTATCAAAAGAAGGATTCAGTCGAATCAGTGATGATGAGAGTCAAGTGGAAATGTCGGCTTCTATGCCATTAGTGTCATTTTATAGACTGCCAGGTGGTTTACGCAGACAGCACAAGGAACTTGAACGAGAATTATCTGGTGAGGATCATTGCATTTACTTTCCATGCTAGTTGGTTGAATTCTGTAATTTGTCTTAGTTTCTATGAACACTGATAATGATTTGTGCTTTTTTGTTTTTGTTTACAAGGTGCTATAAACACTACAGCCAATGAAATCAAAGTAGTGCCTCAGAAACCACCACCTCCAAAGACGTTAAAAGATTTCATAAATCCAGCTGTAGGAGAGAAGGTTTATATGACAAGTAACCAGTTTGAGCAAGAATGGCTGACAGGTAATGAATATATTTGATAAGTTACTACCATTCTGACTTCTACCGGGTACTTGCTTTTATTACATTTAGAAGCACATATGCTTATGAAAATGCCATATATTACAACCACGGTCAGAATAGCATGTATGTTGCATGTATGCTGTGGTTCTGGAGATGAGTATTTTGATTTTTACCGCCATATCTTATTTCGGTGGCAGTGCATTTGCATGATTCATACTAACTACTGTGCAAGGTGAAAGCCACAGTTGACACAGACACAACAAACAAACCAGCACCCTTGTTTGAGATCTGTGCTTGACAAGTGTTCCCACAATCACCACTTGCAAGAAATAATCACACTATTCTGTTCTTGGTTGTATGTCATGATACATTGGGTACATTTATGAATACAAGTTAGCTTCTCTTGTAGAAGAGGTTTCTATTTTTATAAGCACCATATAACTTGAAAGAAGTGATAAAATACTGAAGACAAGCAGGAAATCACTTCAGTGTTATATTACTTGTATTTTCTAGGTGCACGACAGGTACACCAATCCCAGGGGGACAAAACTCAACTTGTGTTGGACACTGGTAATAAATACAAGATCTCCTACTTGGAAAACTACCCTCAGTCACCAAGTCAATGGCATTATGATGACAGCAGTGAACATAGCAAGAAGAAAAAAGGAAGCAGTCTTTCAGCAAGTAAAATTACCATCAAGGGAAAAACGAAATGGAGTAAATTACCGGAACCTGACGATGTAAGAACTAATCCAATAAAGAAGATTAAGGGTTACTCATTTAAAATCAATGGGGGCTGGAAGAATTTAATTTTCCGATAGAAAACAGGGGGTCTATGGTTTTCCACAAATGTTTTATTTATATATTCCCCAACAGCAATTTTTGGGTTCATATTTTTTCCAATTCTTTGACAATTTTTTTCCCCACAAAATCCTCCAGCCCACCCCTAGTTTTCAAATGGGAAACCCCTTAATTAATGTAAACTTCACCTGGATAATCAATTGTTTTTGTTTTTAGTTATTTAAATGTAAACTCCGATATGATTGCTAATCAATGATCCATTGTAAGTAAATTGTGACATGTTTGATGTTTACAGAGTGACAGACTCGGTATTGCGATACAAGACACTGAATACAGTCATACAGAGAAAGAAGCTGACGTGTCAACTGTGAAGAAAGCAAGAGAGAATCCATCCCTATTAAAAATAGGTAAGATATAGTACAATAGGTTGAGATAGATATACGTTTCAGCAGATATGATCTACCGTACAATGTATTTCCTTACTTCACACAGCTAATCAAGCTATATCAAGCTGACGTATAAAATAAAAGTTTTTTGATATACTCAGCCTAAATTTTTGATTATTACAAAACCTGAATACTTGTCGTTTACTAAAACCATGTATATTCTTTGTTCCACTGTTATAAATCTTGAAAGAGACTTTAGTTTTTAAAAAAAAATTAGCTCTTATTTCATACCTCCAATAGTAAAGGGATGAATCATTCAGTACATTGACTTTTATGCTGTTGTACTTTGATATAATGAAAACTCAAAAGTGATGATAACTATTATTACTGGTATAAGTACTTGTTTTCATGTATGTAGATATTATTTGTAGATATATAACTGTGTTTGAAAGCCCTCTCTATGTGTTGCATGTTTATGTTGTCTCTTCTCAACAGAACCAAGAAGTGTACAAACTGACCAGCATGCATTCCTTATTGAACAATATACTATCTATAATCTTATTGTTTTCTCATCTCTTGTCTTACAATTTTTTTTCTTCTCTGCACGCGGGGATGGTTTTCTCCTGTATCACAAAAAACAAAAAAACACATTCTTGCCACACACAAAAAAATCTTAACAACCACTGTTTTCCCTGACACCCGTGTGTTGAGCAGTGCATCCTATGAGGTATATAGGTAAGAATATTGAACGTAATGATTAGATTCCAATATGGGGCACCGTAAAGCTAGTAAGGTATTCAAATGTCATCAGTAATGTATCATATTAATGCTTTACATGCTTCTAAATGCTGCCAATATCACCTGAAATGAAATCCAAATACACAAATGTAGATTTAGCGTAACTCAAATTCCCATCTAGCAGTGTTAAAGCAAAGGGCCACCAGCTACATTTGTTGACAATTTGTTTTAGTCCAATACTGAGCCAAAATCAACTGTGTGGTGTCTGAAATGAATATATACGTGGGAGTATTAAATAAATATTAACCTTTTCAGCACCAGACTTTCTCGCTCAAATTTTTCTGAACTTTTTTTCTAATATTCTTCAATATTTCTGGAAATGCATGATCCTTAATTTTAGAGCCAACAGACAAAATTTGAGTCAGTTTTCAGTTTTTACTCAAAAAGTTTGATTATTTTTGTTCTAATCTTCTGAAGGGAAGAGCAGACTATAAACAAAACAAGATTTTGTGAAATTGTGATGAAAAGAGGGAACTGGTAGTGAAAAGATTAAGGTGTTCCTGCTATGTATTTGCAAACACCAACGAGACAGCGCAAACAAGAATTTCACCATGTGGATATTCATGTGGTACCATAAACGTGACTTAGCTCAGTATTGAAACAAATTTAAAAATATGAAAATTGGCAAAAAATGCAGCTATTATGTGTGCACTCAGTGATGTTAATTGCAGTCATCTAAACAGAGTCATTTAGTACATATTATTCCCTGTTAATAAAACAACTTTCAGGCAATGATGTCATAGCAGATTGCATCAGACACTTGCAACTGCCTCTACTTTATTTTTTCAGCATCACAGAGAAAACTACATATAAATAAAGCAAATTCAGTACCATATATTTAAATGGTTAATCCATTTTTTTCTTTAAATTAAACACTGTTGGGGACATTAATAGAGTGGTATACTTATAGTCAGTATAGTGCATGTCATTCAAGTTGCATGCAGATCTATTGGAATGCATTTTAGCACATTATCAAAGTGCTCACCACAGTTAAATTTAGATACAAAATCAGCATGTCCAATGTAATATGAAGAGTGTTATTTTTCTGACCGCATGTCAATGCACTATTCACCGATAGCTCACAGCTCTGCATCACACCAAACACGTTGATATTAGCAGCATAACATTCTGTACTAAAAATCAATCATCAAAGCATTTCACTACTCAAATGTTTTACTGGAAAAAACAACCTCTTCTCAGTTGTGTTAAATAATTGCCATGTGGTGTTTGGGAGGATTGGTTTGGATTTTCAAATTACCATAGAGAACAAATAACATCATCAAATCCTTCTTTGGTTTTGTCTTAATCTTGGAAATTTACTTTTTCATGTACTGATTTTTGTTTTTACATAGGTCTGCAAGGTTTTTTTTATGTGGTATATATTGGGATAGCCCTTATCTATGGTGGCATTCATCAGTATTTAAATTGATTCTATTTCATTTTAACAATATTTAAAAATATAATTACCAATCACCCGTGGTTCTAACTACCGGTAATCATGATCATCTCAACATCATTTTCATTTCATCCATTTCAAAACCTTCTTGATTATAAATCATGTTACATTCATTTTACAGTCGATGGTGGAGATCTAAATGGAACCTCGGCAACCGTTGGCATGACAGCAGCATTGAAGATTTAGTACGTGATATGAGTGATATCCATGATCATGTTCGATTGGGTGCCATAGCAACAATTGCCCGCGCGGCAACATTCCGTCCACCTCCAGACCCTGGAATTAAATTGCATGGTGAGTTGTTTAACTTGAGCAATTGACTTGTTGACCAAACTACATGTACCTCCATGCAACCCTACTACTTTTTACATATTGATACGATCAGGTGACATTTAACACCATTACACAAACTTGTATTCTGATAAAAGTAATACCAGAAGCATCACAGTCTCACCACTACCTGGGTGTAGTAGTATAAAGACATGTCAAGTATTAAAAACAAAAGGTGTAAAAAAAATGTTTTGAGGAGTTTTGTTTACAACAATGTACATGAAAACTTTCATGTTTACCACTGTATTAGGTTCTAGAAAAAGTACAAGAGAAAGATGAAAAGACGTTAGCCTTGCATGGCGTGTTACCAGATAAGTTACTAGCTTGTGTTGAAAAGGCTTTGTATGATACAGCATCTAGAGTGAGAATCACTGCAGCTATAGCTCTGTATACATTAAATACACCAAGTACAGAGGTGAGTCACACTGTATCCCCTGTACATTACCGATACCTAAAAAATTCATCCCTGTCTTTCTATGCAAGTATTATCTGTACATGTGATTCAATGATGTCCTACTTCAGTGATTCTCAATGTAGCTACCGCTTCTATAAAAAATATTTATCCACAAATAATAAACAGAAAAAAAAATCACAGCCTGTACATTGCTTTTGATCGATATGCTGAAAGTTCACTCCAGTGTTACATGTCATGTGTACTATTATAATAAATACCTGTACCATTCTCTCTTTTGATCTTGGCTACATTATTGGGATATTTAGCCAGACTTTGAACAGGTAGAGTAGACAACGTGCTGTGAACATTGTGTGTACCTGTAACATACACTAACACTGTCCTGCATTTCAAATTAACGTGTTGTATTTGCTTTCTTAGTAACATATGCACTTGCATGTACTATTGTGATGCGCATACCTCTATGATGTGTGTACCTCTGATGCGTGTACCTCAGAGATACATGAACCTCTATGATGTTGTCGCTTGATACATGTACCTTAAGTTTGTAATGCATGTTCTTCTCTGATGCGTGTATCTTTCTGATGCCAGTACCTTTGTGATGCATGTACAATGTACCTTTATAATTCATGTAATCTCTGTAATGTGTTCAATTCTGTGATGCATGTACCTCTATGATACATGTTCCTCTGTGATGCATGTACCTGTGATGCTGTGTACCTCTGTGATGCATGTACCTCTGTGATGAGTGTACCTCTGTGATGCGTGTTCCTTTGTGATGCGTGTACCTCTCTGATGTGTGTACCTCTTTGATGCGTGTATACCTTTGTGATGCATGTACACAATGTACCTCTGTGATGCGTGTTCCTCTGTG